TCGTGGTAGCATCTTTCTTGCCATTATCTCATATTGTTTGTTTGTTTCTATGGCTGTAGTGCATCGATCGATCGTAGGTGAGCTTCCACTGTCTGCTAATGATTGTGAGACCTGCAATGATGATGTGATATAGTAGATATCTTTGGCTTTTTTGTAGTCATTTTAGCAGCAGCAGAAGCAGGAACGTTTCAGGTAAGAAGGTCAGGTCTTTATTGGTACAGCGTATGGCCATGGCCGCCACGTCTTGCCAGTACTTTCTGAGCCCAGGATAATGCCACCATGTGTGTATCATATTTCCTTTGTCTGCCTGGCATCTCCAACAGACATTGGATGTATTTGGGAAGCTATGTTGGGGACCAGGTCCCATCTGTAGCGCAGTTTTTGGGATAGTTCCACATGAGACATGCATAGCGTCAGTTCTTTATGAGCTAGGAAAATGTCTTGCCATAGTGGATGTTTGATGTCTTTTTTGCCATGCTAATTGAAAGGTAAGGGGATTCATGTTAATTTGGGCTTGTTCAGAGGCGTAAATCGTGGAGATTTGTTTTTTGGGTGGTTTAAATTTAGATTTTTTTCTGCCTCCAGTAGTGTGGGCTACAAAATGTATAAAAGGAATGAAACATTTTAGTTATGGAGAAAGGTTAACAAATTTAAAAATCTTTAGTTTACAAAAATGGCACCTTTGAGGGGATATGATAGCATTGTAAAAGTATATTTGGGGCCAATACAAGCACTGTCAAAATCTATGCATAAACAGGACTATACATGTGACACAATGCCATGCATTCGGTCTGGAAGAAAGAAGATTTAGGAAAGGTTTTTTACAGTGAGGACAATAAGGATGTTGAATCTGCCTGAAGAGGTGATTTTATCAGAGTCTACACAGATGTGTTAAAAGCAACTGGATGCCCAGGCCCAGACGGATTCCCCGGACTCTACTACAAGACATACCCATCGATACTCCTACCACACCTCCTTTCCCTATTTACCTTCCTCATGTAAGGAAACCCACCTCCCCCGGACATGCTGCGAGCCAACATATGCTTACTCCCGAAACCCAACAAAACCCATCAAGACCCAGGCCACTATCAACCAATCTCCCTATTAAATACTGATCTTAAATTATTCACAAAACTATTAGCGAACTGACTACACCCCTTTCTCCCCAAACTAATTCACCCAGACCAAGTAGGATTCATCCCCCACCGACAGGCAAGTGATAACACCAGAAGAACATACAACCTAATCTGGAACGCCAACCAACGACCATACCCCCACCCTTCTATCCCTGGATGCCAAGAAGGCGTTTGATCGCATTCTCTGTCCCTTTTTGTTCGCTACCCTCGACAAAATGGGCTTCCCAGCGACCTTCACAGAAACAATCAGAGGACTATACACCTGCCCCACGGCAAACCTTCTAATCCCAAATGCTCAGACCCCTCCTTCACGATACATAACGGAACGTGACAAGGCTGCCCTCTTTCCCCCCTCCTTTTTGCCCTGTCCCTGGAACCCCTCTGCGAAAAGATCCGCCAGACCAAAACCATAACGGGCCTCAAAATCCACAGTGAAGAATATAAGATAGCGGCCTACGCGGTTGACCTCCTGTTAACACTGACAGACCCCATACTCCCTACCCCCCCCCCCCACTAGCTCTCCTAGCTGAATACACCGAAATATCAGGCTACAAACTAAACCTTGGCAAAACAGAAGCCCTCCCAATTAACACCCCTGCCGAAACACTAGAGGCGCTTAAACGGCAATACCCATTCCAATATGAACCGAAGGGCATAAGCTATCATGCAACACACATACCAACTCAATTACCTCCCACTACTACACAAAGCCACCCAAGATCTGGAGAACTGGCAACACCTATCCATATCCTGGCTGGGACGCTTGGCATCAATTAAGATAAACTTTCTCCCGCGATTTCTCTATCTCTTCCAGGCCCTACCCATCCCCATATCCAAGACAGACTTCAAGTTACTACAGACCCAAGTAGACAAGTTCGTATGGGCAGGGAAAAAAGCCAGAATAAAATGGACAACACTGTACGTACCACACAAGAGGGGAGGGTAGGGACCCCCAACTTCTGGGACTACCATCAGGCGGCACAGCTAGCCCAAATTCAAAACCTCCATGCCCAGGCAGGACTCAAACTATAGGTAGACCTGGAACACAATCTATTTGGCCGAGATTTTCCCTCTTTATACCTATGGCTACCCAAGCAGAGAAGACCACGCACCCCCCCATGACCCCAGCACTAACACACTCAATACAACTATGGGACAGAGTCACTCGCAAACATATACTCATCTACTCTCCGTCCCCACTAATGCGATATTAAGGAATACACAATTCCAACCAGGCATGACCCCAAACTAGTGATGTACCGAACGGTTCGCCGGCGAACGGTTCCTGGCGAACATAGCATGTTCGCGTTCGCCACGGCGTGCGAACATATGCGCGGTTCGACCCGCCCCCTATTCGTCATCATTGAGTAAACTTTGACCCTGTACCTCACAGTCAGCAGACACATTCCAGCCAATTAGCAGCACAGCCTCCCTAGCAGACCCTCCCACCTACTGGACAGCATCCATTTTAGATTCATTCTCAAGCTGCATGCTTAGTAAGAGGAGGGAAAGTGTAGCTGTTGTTCATAAGATAGGGAAAAGCATAGCTAGGTTAGGGATAAGGGTATGCTTTTTTTTTATTTTTTTTTCTATGTAATGTAAATGCACTTAGTTGTCTGCCACTGCTGCCAGCTTCTGTGTCAGGCTCACAGTGCCTATTTCCCCAGTCAGTGCCACCAATTACATCTGGTGTCACAATAGCTTGGATTTAAAAACAAAAAACTTTTTTCACTGTTATAGATTGAATAGCAGTCAGTTGTCTGCCACTGCTGCTAGCTTCTGTGTCAGGCTCACAGTGCATACTG